CAGCAGGAAGAGAGTGAGATGGAGTCGCTCGTTGGAAGCGGCTGTGACTTATCTTCCCCTCTCCAGGATGTCTATGATAAAGTGGATTACCTGAGCTCCCTGGGAAAGACTCAGACTGCGGCTGTCCAAAGGGACGCAGACATCGGGGTGGCAGAAGCTGAGCGAGATGCTGGCATTCGGGTGAGTCCAAAGATGTGCTGGGCTTCCCCGGAGCAGCCTGTTTTGCTCCAGCTGCACACCCTGGAGCTCTGCCCTCCGTTTCCTCTCTGCAGGAGGCGGAGTGCAAGAAAGAAATGCTGGATGTCAAGTTCATGGCCGATACCAAAATAGCAGATTCCAAACGGGCTTTTGAGTTGCAGAAAGCTGCCTTCACTGAGGAGGTCAACATTAAGGTGAGAGGTATCTGACAGCCCACCACCGTTCCCTGGCTGGTTCGTGATGGTATTGGTAGCTCTGGGACTTGCCAGCTTCCTCCTCCTGTATGTGGTAGGAGAGCTGAAGATGGAGAACCCAGATTTCTGTGTCACAGTGTGAGCACCTTGCAGCAGATTCCTCTCCTGCTTGCAACAGTTAGAGGGGACTGGAAGTAGGTGGAAGGATGGGGAGGGTGAGCTAAGCTGGACCCAGAGCTGGTTGGGATCAAGTACTGTGGGAAGAGTGCACAGGGAAGGACAGCAAGTGCAGGTCTGAGGACAGGGACGTCACCTCTGGGTGGAGGTTTGGTCCAGAGCAGGAGCCACGTCTGGTGTTAGGGCCTGCCGAGGGTCCTTATGTCTGTGCACAGGAGGTCATGGCCACGACCCCTCTTCTCATCTCTCCCACGAGCAGACTGTGGAGGCCCAGCTGGCCTACGAGCTCCAGAGCGCCCGGGAGCAGCAGAAGATTCGCCAGGAGGAAATTGAAATCGAGGTGGTGCAGCGCAAGAAGCAGATCGATGTCGAAGAGAAGGAGATCGTGCGGATGGAGAAGGAGCTGATAGCCACTGTGAAGCAGCCGGCCGAGGCGGAAGCCTACCGCATCCAGCAGATCGCCGAGGGCGAGAAGTGAGTGAGCCCGTGACCCGGACGGAGAGGGACCAGCCCTGAGCCCTGCTGCACGCTGGGCTGGCGTGAGGTGGGAGCGAGGTGGGCTCTCGGCAGGGCAGGCACGTGGCTGGCAGAGGGAGGGAAGCGGCGCTGAGTACACTGCGGGGATCTGGGCTGCTGGAGGGCTGGGTTTCCCTTTCCAGGGTGAAGCAAGTCCTCATTGCTCAGGCGGAGGCAGAAAAGATCCGCAAGATCGGAGAAGCAGAGGCCTTTGTGATTGAGGCCATCGGGATGGCGGAGGCCGAGAGGATGAAGCTGAAAGCTGAAGCGCTCAAGAAGTATGGAGAAGCTGCCCAGCTGGCCCTAGTGCTGGATGCGCTGCCTGAGGTGAGGAGGGAGCAGCTTTGCTCCAAACAAGCGGTCGGGAGCTCCCAGCCTGGGCCAGGTCTCCGGGGAGCCCAGAAAGGCCCCACGAGCTTGGGCAGGAGGCTGCTGAGCAGCTCTTTGGCTCTCTGCTCATCCTGCCCACCTTCCCTGCCTCCCCAGATTGCTGCCAAAGTGGCCGCTCCCCTCTCCAAAGTGGATGAGATCGTTATTCTCAGCGGAGAGAGCAGCAACACGACATCCGAGGTGAACCGTCTGCTGGCCGAGATCCCCGCCTCCGTGCGTGCCATCACCGGCGTGGATCTCACAAAGGTGAGCCCAGCGCCAGCAGCTGGCAATGCCTGCGGCTCTTGGGGAAGAAGGACTTGCCTGGAAGCTTTCAGGCTCCTGGGGAGCCTCCCCTTCCCCAGCCCTGCCCAGCCACAGAGTGCAGGCAGCTCCCTGCCTCCCCCTCCTCCAGCCCTAACAGCTTCTCTCTTCCCCTCCTGCAGATTCCCCTGATCCAGAAAGCCACCGGGGCCCAGGCATGAGGCTGGCCGACCCAAAGCTAGTGAAGATCGCTCCCTGTTCTGCACTCAGACATCAACTGCCTTCAACACGTGGGAATTCCTTTTATATCAAAGACAATTGGAGTTTCGTTTTTAAGCTCTGGTGCCTTATTTTGTAGGGCCAGAAAGTTGCATGTCCAATCAGCTGCTCTTTTTATTACAAAGGGTGGGCGGGGGATTTATTTTGTAATTAACTGTCAGGGCAGGGTCTGGATCCGATCCCCAGTTCCGACTGGCGACTTGTCTGGTGTTGCAACCCCGGTGCCTGGCTGTTCTCTGTCCTCGGGCGGCCGCCCAGAGCTGGGAGCAGAGGCTCAGCGGGACACGGAGCGTTGGAGTGTGCAGCTGTGGTAAGAGAACAGCCAGGACCCACCTCCCCGGGCTCGCTGCCCTCCTTCAGCCGCCCTCCCGGGCACTGCCCAGCCCCTGCCTCTGCCCGCAGCCTCGCTTTGCGGCCGGGT